CTTCTGTGTCTGTTTTTTAAACAAAGCAGCTGATGGGTTCAGTGGAAGCCAAACCACTGGTTTCACTGGTTCCAGTTTCTGAAGAGAAGGACCAGTTTGGGGCAGCTGCCGGGAACGCTGGCTGGAGCTTTTGGATGCTGGCCAAAACCATCGCACAATCTCCTCGTTTGTTTTATTTTATGACTTCTCGGGAAACTCATTCCGAGAAGCACTTCCTGCTTTTGATCGTGGGAAAAACAGCCGGACTCACTCCAGGTCTTACCAACGATCCACAGCAGGAGCAGAGAAACTTACAGAGGCTTTTAGCTTTTGAAAATCCCTTTAAAGCCTGTTTGACCACTTTCACACGTCTTTTTTCCACTTTTCTTACCAAATCTATGCCAGAGGATGACTGAATATTTTTTGTAAAAGATACAAGAGCACATGCAAAAATTTAAACTAACCAAAAAGCCAATTATATTAATCTGACTACATTTTTAGTCATTGTTTTTGTGCTTCTTTTACCTATTTTTGGTTGTTTTGCTGCCTTTTCCACTATTTTTTCATTGTTTTTCTGCTTCTTCCACTTAGCTGCTAACCCCCCCCCCAGGTGACCTCTATGGGCCCTCAGCAGGAGGGACCAGAGCCACCTTTGGTTTCCCCCTAATTCTTTATTTCCACCTACAGTATATCAACCTCAGAGCTGCACCATCAGTTAGAGCTGGAGTAGCTTCTTGGATCAGAAGAAAATTTCACCTCCAGCGGCCTGAACTGAACTTTCCATGTTGACCTGGATGACTTAGGATCTATGTTATCAGCTTAGAACTCACCTTTTCCAGCTGGTTTATTTTCTTATCTGTCTGACAGAAAACATGTCCAATCGTTAACACGTGTATGGTTTTCCTTTGGGAACTGATAAAGAACAAAAACAGCTTTTTAGACCCTTTTTTAAAGAAAAAATACTCATTTAAGAGGATAAGGCGTTCCCTGGAAATGAGCTCCTGGGGGGTTTGGGGGGGGGGGGGGTGCACGGGGTGGGGTTTCCGTTTGGGTTACGGCGTTACGTCACCGCTTCGGGCTTTCCTCTTTGACGTCACAGGGCGTCGGGGCGGCAGCCAGCAGAGCGCGAGGAGACGCGGAGCGAGCGCGAGCTGCGGAGACTAGCGCAGAAATCCCAGCGCCGCGCTCCCGGAGGCAGGAAGACCAGAGGCCGCCGCCAGGAGAGAAGCCCAGGAAGGAGCCCCCCAGGGCCGGGAAGAGCCCCAGAAAAAGCCCCGGCAGAAGCCCCAGAAGGAGCCCCAAAAGAGGCCCAGAAGGAGCCCCAGGGCCGGGAGCAGCACCAGGAAAAGCCCCTGGAGCATCCCGAGCCCCGGCCGCCCAGTGCCTTCGGGTCCAGGACAGGAGAGACGTCCCCCCCCCGGCCTGAGCGGAGGACAACCCCCCCCACCACCACCACCACACACACACCCTGTGCGGGTAAGTGACCGCTGCTGCCGGGGATTAAAAGGCTCCTGTCCGTGTCCGAAGGGGCCGGAGGAAGCAGGCCGAGCCCTGTGTGTGTGTGTGTGTGTGTGTGTGTGTGTGTGTGTGTGTGTGT